CCATGATTATTACGACTTTTTGGTATATATTATTAAACTTGTTTCGTAAATACAAGTGCTTTTGTCGTGGATTAGTTTCAAAAATACGAATTTCTTAAAAAATAATAAGTGACAAATTTTTTTACTTTCTTATTATAAAATATTATTACCATTATTAATGAATCGATATTTTTATAATAATAATATATATAAATTTATGAAAAAAGATAATTTCTATTAAAAATTTCGGTACTTAATAAATTAAAAATTTTTGTACAAATCTATATTTACAGCAAATTATTTCTTATAGATTTTTTCAAATTTTTTAAAAACTTTATCATTGAAAATACAACATAATGAACATAATGAACATAAATGATTCATGTTTACAAACATGATGTGAAATGATCAAATATGAAGATTATTGCATGATATTAAAAATTATTAAAAATATTTTCTTTATGAATAAGAAATGTAAATTATAAATAATAGAATTGTTTAATATAATATCATAAAAATAATTTGAGACAGAATAATTACATAGTAATGTAATTATCGTAAATCAATTTGAATAAATTTACTGCACGAGTCAAAATTTTAATCGCAAAATGTAATCGTTTGAACTCACGTGTTTCTGATGCAATCCGCAGAATTTCTTACTGTTTGGTATATAGCCAACGAATTTTACGACGAAAATACAGCAAAGAACAAGCTTCTTGATGACACTATCATCATCGACTTTTTTGATAATGATATAAGAACTTATGAATAGGCTTTGTTTTTAAATTTAATTTTAATGATTTCTCGTGTACTTAAGCAATCGTTAATTACTATTTTCGAGATAAAAAATATATATTCAAAATATATATAATAAATTATTGATAGCATAAAATAAATATTAATAATATAATAAAAAGATAATATGTAATAAATATTATCTTTAGATCGAGTTCATTAGAATGCATTAATATACAAAGAAAAAGAACAATACGAAACCGCAGACACTGGTATCAAATTGTATTGAATAACATTAGCGATAACTGGTCAATTCTGAGTAATCTTTAAGTAATTTGAGCATAGCATTCACATTTATTAGAATAGAGTACTTAGAATTGAATATTAATCATAATTTTTAACATTAAATAATAGAAAAAATTTTCTTAAAAATTTCTTAAAATTTTTTACTTCCTTTTATATTTGAAAAATATTATAAATTAATAAAAAAATTATTTTTGATCAAAAGAAATGTTAATAAGATAAGAGATGAGAACAATACACATAAGAAATGTTCTATTTAGTAACAACCACAGGTATGCTACTTTCCACTTCTAAATGTGACTGAAAGTTGATCATAACTTTCCATTTCGTTTTGAAATATAATGAAATTATTTGCTTATTTCGATCGTTTTATACTCTAAATTTCATGTATTTCACTTAAAAATATTATATAAATTATTATTTTTGTTTTTCACTTTATATTCTTAATTAACATTCAATAATTATTTAATAATTCAATATTTCAATAGAAATCATCATGATATTCCTGAAAATTCTAGTCGAATTTATTAGAATTCATCTTTTTAAAAAAGTATAATCTATTGATGAGAAAACGCCGGAAGTTTATATGGTAAAAGTATGTAAATAAAACTAAATATACTATAAATATAAATAGCGTAAATCCATCTAATTTGTCATGAATTGTCAATACATAATTGAAAGATAAAATATAAAGTTTTATTTAGAAGCAAATAACAAAAATCAATATCGATAGAAGATTACTTTCTGATGTATTGAGCATACAATTTACATATTTACAATATATCACAATGAAGGAATAAAGTGAATAGTCATCGCATATCCCTAAGCCGGTCAAAAATATCTCTCGATATTTCTCGATAATGCCACGTGCTTTTATATGCTCGACCTTGTGAGTCGAAATAATAGGAGCATCGACCGAAAACGATACTGTTTTTTCAATTTTATTTCATCTAATTATTTATATAATATTTTATTATATTCGTGAAATGTTAACAAATATATATACGTTATTAAACATTATAGTATTATATTAATTAATGTAAATTATACGTGTTATTTTGAAAAACTTATATATGATATATAAAAAAGGATAAATTATTTAAATTTAATTATTTCTTAAACAATGTTCAACTTGACATCTAGATTTTCATTCAATTTTTCCAACGAAAAGTTAAAATAAAGCAGAACTATTGCGACAAATGGCGTATGTCATTTGTTTCGAAAATGATATCAATATTATTATTACAAAGTTTCTTCTATTGTTGATTCTGTATAAAAACTATCAAAATTCGTATTCGTATTCCGTACATTAATTATGAGTAGAAAATTCTTATACGTGAGTCATAGATAAAAACCAAAAATACAAGAAATATTTTCTATGTCTAGAGAGATTAAATATAGAACGTAGTACATGTACCACGTGTACTTTATATATCGAATAAATCGAACCTCTACCGGCCATTTGCATCTACAACCGTTATGTCGTCAGCGATGACACACTCGAATTGCTTACCTGCGAATCTAGTCTTGATCAAGTCCAACGGATGCAGCATCAAAGTGGAAACGACGCCACCAGATATACCAGCGATGAAATGTTCGTATTTGAAGTGGCTCAGCACGGGCAAAACACGAGCGGTTCCCGGTGAACCACTAGACTTCATTGCCGACATTTTTCCCGTGTTAAGCTGCTCGTTCTTCGTTATCGATCCGTCAGCGGAAAATCCAGTCGCATCCTTCACAGCGCTAGCAATATTCGCCTCCACTCTGCGGCATATCTCTTGATCCGGGGCAGGCAGTGTTGTTGCGTTTACGGTAGCGCGAGGCACGGCTGAATTCGCCTCTACGGTTTGATGCTTTCCTCCGTCTCGCTTGCTCTTTTTAATCGATTACGCAACGCAACAAAACGTCACACGCACCGAACACCACCATACTAAGTGCTCAACTGCCCGCGTCAAGCGTTCTGCGCATCGCTTCTTTTAACTTGATTGCGAGTGCCATCTTTTAAGAAAAGAGAGAGTAGCGCACTCTACCGCGCGAAATTCGATTCGAATTACATGCGCATCTATTTTCTGGCGCCTTTTTACTTTCAATTGTTTATCTTATCTAATGTGTTTCAACATATTGTAAAAAGATATTATAGGAAATAAATAAATGTAATTTAATTTTTAACAAAAAATTTATTATATTATTATAATAAATTATAGAATAATAATAATAGTATAGAATAATAATAATAATATAATACATTATTATTATAATATAATATAATATAATATATTATTATTTAAGAATAAAAAATTAGACATAATAAAATAGCAAAATTAGCAAAATTAGACATAATAAAATACTTTCTTTATTATAAAATACTGAAGAATATTTGTAAATATTTTTTATTAATTATATTTAAGAACTATAAAAAAAAATAAATACATAGTTTAACACAACAAAATATAAATAAACAATTAATCTATAATCATTTATTTATAAGTTTAATTTTTAATCACGTTTATATTATATTAATTATGTATCATAATAAATTATATTCTAAATGAAATTGCAAGTATTGATTAATCAATTTTGAGATAAAAATATATTAGATAAAACTTATTTGAAAATTCTTATCTTTTCTGATAAATCTAACAATGTATTGGTAATGAATAATGAATATGATAATGATAATCGATAATAATCGATGATAAGTTTTTTATATATCACGATAGAATATTTATCATTTTTTCTTAGTTTTTTATAAGCAGCTAGTGAATTGCTCAGTTAATTTCTATATATATATATATATATATGTCTAGTGAATTGTTATTAAAATTAATTCGGATAAATATAAGATAGTTAACATTATCATCTTTGATTCGATAAGTATTACAATTAGTACTAAGTTAAATATAAATATTTATTTCAAAAATTATTTTCGATATTTTTGCGATAAATGTATGTAGAAAATCAATCTAAATTTTTTCTATTAATTAAATAAATTATATAGTTAAAATATTATATAAATATATAAGTAATTCATGAAAGATAATTTTTATATGTTATGAAATTTAAGTGTCCATGAATGGATGATGATTGAAACAAATATTTAAATAAAAAAAGTACTTGACTTGATTGAAAGAAAAAGCAGTTTCTGCAATATCAAGATTTCAAATCTCGACAAAATGGTAAGATGATATTTTTATATTATGCAAATAAGTTATAATAAAAAAGTTATAAATATTATCAAATATGAAAAAAATTTAACATCTTGCTCAAGATAAAATATTCACAATCGCTTACATTTAATCACTTCTTGTTGAAATTTATATTTGAACGAATAATAAAATAATTTTAATGTTATTTTATAATTAAAATATCAATTAGTACAAATATATTGTATTTGTATCATTAATATGAAAATGCATTTTATATAAACAGGCAGAAAAATAAATATTGTAATAAATATTTATTAATTATAAGTTTAAAACTATGTATAGAATATTATGTTACAAATTATTATGGACAATAAAATTTTATCACTAAAAAAAATATTACAACTGTATAAAAAATATGATAAAACTTACTAACAATCTAGATACATTTTGCAGTATATATAGTGCTGATAATTAGCACTATTCAAGATAATTCTCAAGTTCAGATATGTGAGTACATGTCATTTATATTAGCCTCACTTAAAATATCGTTACGATCGCTAATCGTGAAGCAGAATAATCACATACTGAAAAAAGAAAAAAAAAATTACAATGTGGAATTACTTTGACAAACGGATTTCTTCATATTACGAAAGAAAATCCTACAGATATTTATATTTTTTGGTAAGTGTGAATTAATATTCGTTCAGTGATGCTCGATTAGATATCGTGTATTCATTCTTATTTGATTTGTTCATCATTTACTTACTCATTCGGATTTTTATCTGAATATCTTGCATTCACTTCCCGTTTCATTTTTTATATATCGTTACGAATGTCATATCTTTTATTTGACATTCCGATTAATTCCGATTCAAAGTTTCAAAGCCGTCGCTATCATATCGTTGTATTCGTTTCTATGAATAACTTTGCTGCCTGTTGCTGGAGAAGATGATGGTGGTCTACCTCCATAAGCCAAATCTTCTAAACGTTTTCCTAAGGCTAATGCTATTCTGTCTCTCACATACAAATACGGGCCTTGATTTTTGTGTTCTTCTTGTAACCACATAAGCTAAACGCATGGGATATTTGTTTTAAAATTGATTTAAGAAGTTAAATTTATTTAAAAAATTAATTTACTTTAGCATTCGGATATTTTTTCATTTCTTCAGCTAATAAATGATACGGAAATGGACAAAGTTGTTCGATGCGAATAATTGCTATTTTATCTTCCAATTGTTTCCCCTGACGTTCGATCACCAAATCATAAAATACTTTTCCACTACACATCAGCACTTTTTGTATATTTCCTGGTTTGACAAATGGATCAGAGAGAATAGGTTTAAATGAAGTGCCAGATTCCATATCAGCAAAAGGCGAAAGAGCCATAGGATGACGAAGCAGAGATTTCGGTGTCATTATACACTGGTTGAATAGACAAATAGTTATACCTGGTTTTATCTTTAACAATAAAAATAGGTATAATAAAATATTCATTAACTAATGGTTTCCGAAAAGGCATATGGATTTGACGACGAAGGGCATGAAAGAAATTTGCAGGTGTCGTTAAATTGCAAATAATCCAATTTATTTCAAACAATTGCCGTGTCATAATTTGATCTATAGTTTCTCCTGGTTCGGCCGTCGGAAGATAAGAGAAATCATCATCACAAAGCTCGAGATACCGTTCAATTTTTGCGGAGGAATGTTCAGGTCCCTGTCCTTCTAATCCGTGAGGCAAAAGAAGAACTAATCCTATCTGCCTACCCCATTTCGTTTGTCCGGAACACAAAATAGTATCTAAAGTGACCTGAACATATACAATTTTTATTACTAATATTTTTAATAATTGTTATTACATTATTAAAATTATCTGTCATAAATAATTTTAATATTTGTAAATTTGTAAATAATGTCTATATTACTTTATAATATTAATTATAATTATTAACTTTGTAATAATTCATAATACAAATAATGTGCAATAACAATGTATGATAACATTCTTGATTACATGAGATTGATTTTTAATTAATTTTTGAGAAGATTTACCTGACAAGTATTCGCAAAATCACCAAACTGGGCTTCCCAAATTGTTAATGTGTTATGGTTATATGTCGAATAACCCAACTCGAATCCTATATTCATAATCGATTACAATTTATCGATAATTTTTTTTTTTTCAATTAAAGAATTCTATTAAAGAATTCATTAAAGAACTTCTAAAAGACTCACCGCAAACGCCATATTCCGATAATGAAGAATTCGTGACAGTATACATTGCTTGTCCCGGAAATATATCATGTAAAATATTTTTGTACGTCTTATCTCTACTCTGATCGTGAATAACATGTGTGCGATGAGAAAAGGTGCCTCGCTCAACATCCTCGCCGGACAATCTCACGGGGCAACCTTCTTTCAATAAACTACTAAATGCTAAACATTCACCCATAGCCCAATCTACCTGACGAGATTTACTCAATTGCGCTCTTTTTTCCATTACTCTTAATACCTATATTAAGTAAATTAAACATTTTTAAAATTTTAAAAATGAATAAAATTATTTTATCATTCTAAAAAAAATAAAGTTTATCTTCGTCAAGCATTTTCTAATTACGCTCTGAGAAGATTATCAGTATTGATATTCAATCATAAAAAAGAAAAATTACATTTAATACCTGAGTATGGGATTCGATATCACTAGGAGGAGTTGATATAGCTTTGCAAATTGTCTTTATAGTTTCTATGTCGATACCAGTCGGTGGAATTTTATTTTTGGGACTTTGAGTAGCAAAGAAATCAGTCCAAGGTATATCATGCCAGTCACCTAATTGCATCGATTCTATCGTTTTCGCCTTTTCGAATTCTGTTTCACAATAGTTCCAATATTTTTCAATTTCCTATTATATATATTATGATTAGAAATTTATCAAAATATGAAACAATAATTATAATCGTATCTACTTCTTTAGCAAATGTTTCAGTAATCACTCCTTCTTTGAACAATTTATCGCTGTAAATATTAAGCACATTCGGATGTTGTTTAATACGTTTATACATCAAAGGTTGCGTGAGCATAGGCTCATCTAATTCATTGTGCCCAAATCTTCGATATCCCACGATGTCTACAACAACGTCGTTGTGAAATTCAGCTCTGTATTATTAATTTATGTATAGTTAAATAATATTTTATTATTTTTCATCCTAGTGCGAAAAAAGTATACGTTGCATACCTGTATTCGCTGGCAACTTTGCTACAATAGGTCACTAAATCAGGATCGTCAGCATGTATATGGAATATCGGGGCATTTACAACACGTGCTACATCTGTGCAATGCGCACTTGATCGAGAATATCTAGGATCTGTAGTGAAACCAATCTGTAAATTCATTAATATCGTTAAAACAATTATTCGATTATAAAAAAGATTTCATTTAAGTGAATAAATGAATGTGAATAAATGTGACAAATAAATATTACTTGATTGTTGATTACAATGTGAATAACGCCACCTGTCGTGTAATTCGGCAAATTAGTTAAATGCATCGTTTCATAAACAATACCTTGACCCGAGAAAGCAGCGTCACCATGAACCAAAAAAGCCACCGATTTTTTACCAACTGATACAAGTGAATTTTTAATTACAAAAATATCTTGATCAATGAATTTCAATTTTATATACGTACATTCGGCATCATTTTTCTCTACTTGTTCGGCTCGAACACGACCAACTACGACAGGATCTATCGCCTCTAAGTGAGACGGATTGGCCATCATAGCAACACGAATCTTTTTCTTACTTCTGTTAGAAATTTCAGCTAAATAATTTTACAGTTTCATCAACTACATAATTTATCCATATAATCATATAATCACCTTTCTAATATTCTTTCTGCATGTGTTCCTAAATGATACTTCACATCACCAGAACCAAAACCTTCTAAAGCAATTGAATGAAATTGTGTAAGAAGTTGATGCAATGGTTTCATACAAACGTTAATCAAAGTATTTAATCGGCCTCGATGAGCCATTCCTATCACAACACTTTCAACTCCTAAAATATTATTTATTTTATATCTTTTACATGGTAAGAATAATAATAATTTTTCAATATTTTTTTCCTACCATGTTCCGCTGATGTTTCCAAGCATTGATTCATTGACGGTATAAAAGATTCGCAACCTTCCAAACCAAATCTTTTTTCAGTGGGAAATTTTCTTGCCAAAAATCCTTCGAACGTCACTGCCTTCATAATATTCATCCAAATAAATTTCCTATGATCCGCTGGAAGATCCCAAGCACCAGGTACTTCAAACTTATCTCTTAACCAATCTAACTAGAAATAATTTGACGAAATTAATTCAATGTAATGTTATTTTTAATGATTCTTATCTTATCTCTAAATAGAGATAACATATCTTATTTTCTCAAACTAAAAATATCTACCATAACAAGATCATGAATATAGGTATATTCAAGACCCAAATGGCCGCAATAAACTTGGTTCAATCTAATTAGAATATCACGCAAAGGAAGACTTCGTTTAGGACCACCGATTACGGTAAATGGTGCAAGAGGAAATTCTCTATTCATATCAGCTTCGGTCATTCCCTTCAAATGTTGTCGCACCACGATCGCAGGTGGTAAATTAGGAGTGCCTTGAAGCTTACGCGATTCTGGATTTTGTATGCCTAGCGGATCAGTATCGGCAATTAAATGACCACGTGCCTGAAACCGATATAGAATAGAAATAGACCAATTACAATGGTCTGTCTATTTGAATGGATTTATTAATGTAAGCTTAGAGCCTGATTGACGGATACTTGATAAGCTCGAATCGTGGCATTGATATCGAAAGCTCCATTTATATACCTATCACCTTGCATATCACCGTTTGACTTCGATCTTGCACTTTGTTGAGGAAATTTTGCTGTTGTTTTATAAGTAAAGTATATTTTTCTAGATATGCATTTTTCCTTTAAATAAATGTATTAAAAATTTAGAAGAAAATACCTGATTGTGTACCAGATGGTGATCCAACGTGGATGGACGATGGCTTAGAAGAAGTTGATTTGGGCGATGATTTGTGGGAAGCTGCATCCGATTCTTTATCTTTCTTGTCAATTAATTTAAAATATCTATCCCAGGAAGCACTCACGGAACTTGGATTCTTCTTCCATGATTGATACATATATTCCAAGTACTGAATATTGTCCATGTTCAACACGTGATCGAATCTTTCGTTTTTACCTTTTTCATTGTCGTGCTTGAAACGCGCGACATAGTTTTGTGGATAGTATATTGTGAAGGAGAGACGTTTGAGTAGTATTTTCTTGTCGGGGCAATTGAACTTTCGCGGCGTATGTATAACGAAAGGCCGTATACAATAATAAGATTGTCTATTAGCATACATATCTCCATTTGTTATTATTCACCGTAAAAGTACCAGGTATATTTATTTATATTATTCTTGAAATTTTGAATTTAATAAGCCAAACTTGTTAAACTGCAAGTGTACTGGGAATGACACTTGATTATTTCAAAGGTTGTTATCGATCAATTTCTAATATTTTTTAATTTCTTTCATGAAGTTGGTTATCAATTTTCGATACTGAAATTTTATATTTTACTTTTATCAAAGTAATTTAAAATAAAATGAAATAAATATAAAATTAGTTGTCAAAATTATCATCCTTGAATGAAGATGATAAGTAGAAATAATAAATGACAATCTTATTATTTAAATTTTTTAATTAGATTAATTTTCTATAACGATTGCACGAGAAATAATAATTGAAACAACTGAATCGATTGATATAAATGCAACTTCTCACGCTTCTTGCGATATAGTTTAAGTACGGCATCAAAGTTCTTGTTGATATTTTTGTGCAAAAATGTTTAAAATAAAGTTCAGTGATTCGGAGTTACAAGATTTGAAGTATTACAAGAATTAATAAGATGTGATGAGAAAATGCAACATGTTACACAACCCTATGATGATCTAATTAACATACCCTATATAGATATTCAAATGGATATACAATCGTTTGGTATTAGATTATGGCAATTTATTCGTAAAAATTGGTTCAAATCGCGAAAACTATTACGTATACCAGCTTTTCTGAAAACTCAATATTCCACTTCCCATGTGATATTATTTTTACAAGCAAGTTTGCAAATTGAGCAACAAATCTTATATATATTATAATCTTACATATATCTGTTTTCTAATTAGAATAATCTGTATATAGGATGTACCACCATTAATCGTTGATCACAGGATAATAAACATCAGTCCAGATAACTTGCCGGAGCACACAATTTTTCCAAATAATCATATTGTTTCTAAAAAAGTAAGTGCTTTTTAATACGTATTATAAATTAAAATTTAATTCATCCTTGCAATTTGATATAATTTGAATATAATTTGGATCACTTCATTTTCAGTATACCATGTGGAACTTTCTACCAAAAAATCTCTTTGAACAATTTAGACAACTAGCAAATTTTTATTTTCTTATAATGGCGATAATATCTGTATCGATAAAGTCCCCGATCTCTCCTATAACCAGTATCCTTCCCCTAAGTATTGTCATAGTAGTAACCGCGTGTAAGCAAGGCTTCGAGGATTATAATCGTTACATTAATGACAAACGAGAGAATCGGACATTCGTCACTGTCATACGCAACAAATGTGTACAGGTGAATTATATGAATTATATAATTACATCTAAAATTAATCAATTTTAATCGATGTAAACATATTTTTTCTATTTCTTTTCTCTAATTTTTTGTATGACATTCATGTATAACATTTATGATTTATAATGCAAAGCGTGTTCTAATTATCTAATTATTATTACTAATAAACTAACAAAGACGATATATATACACATTTATATTTTAAATTTATTTTTTGCGCTATCGTTGTTAAAAAAATTATTACAATTTTTATTTTTCTAAGAAATAATATAATTATATAAAAGCGAGAGACAAAGAAGATAAAAATCAATTATATTATTAGCTTCGATCGAAATGCGTCAAAATATTCATCGTATTCTCCATTCTATATTTTCAGAACATTTACCGTGAAAATATAGTAGTCGGTGACTTAGTGAAGATACATCGCGAGGAAGATATCCCCTGCGATCTTTTGCTTCTCTATAGCACAGAAGATTCGGAATGCTGTTTCATTACCACGTCAAATCTTGATGGTGAAACCAATTTAAAGGTAATTCTTTTCTAATCGAATCAAATAATAAGTCTGATTAAATAATAAAATTTGGAATTTGCTGTATTAACAATAGATATTTAATCATTGTTCTTAGACTGTGACGATTCCAAAAGTAATCTCAAAAATGTCGATGCAACAAATAATATCTTTAAACGCCATTGTCACTTGTCAACATCCTTCATCGAATCTTTATAGTTTCCATGGCAAAATGGAAGTCAAAAATGAAAACAATGAAACGATCAGAAGTGGATATCTAACGATCAATAATTTACTGCTTCGTGGATCTAGATTGAAAGACACGGATTATATTATCGGTTGTGCGATATATACTGGTCACGATACAAAATTGTCTCTCAATTCAAAGATAACAAGTAAAAAAATCTCTACGAGTGAAAAGTAAATAATCTCGAATATAATATTTTCATATAAGGTGAAAATTAAAAAAAATACGAAAATAGGATAAAATTGAATCTCAAATATATTTTTTATGCCAAAGTTAAAGAACAAACAAAATTTTAAAGATTAATAGAAATTTTAAATAAGTATTAAATGATGATAATTATAAAAAAAAGTATTTTTTCTTTATAATTATTTAATTTTCATAAAATGAAAAAATAATTTCTTAAAGATGATAAGTATTCGTATTTAATCCAAAGGAGATGTTTATTACTTATATTTTTTAACATTAGATAATAAATTGCAATACCCTAAAAATAGTTTATAAAATGCAATACTGTATTTATTTATTTTAATAGATTTTTTAAAATAGAAATTATAAATAAGGACGATACATCGATTTTTCAATTTTCAAAATTAAAAAAAAAAACTAACGTATAACATGGTCTGTAGTTTATTATAATGTATGATCATCTGAATCTAATATCTTACCTTACCATGTATAATTCCATATTATTATTTTTATCTTATTATTAAAGAAACATTGATTACATTTTTCTTATAGATACACGAATTCAATCATAATTTATTATTTACAGATCCAATAATAAATACATCGTCTGTTTCTTCATCATATTACTATTTGAAGTAATAGAATCTTGTACAATAAAAATCATACTAGAGGAATCATGGTCAGAGTTATGGTCATCATATTTGAACGATATTCATCCTTTTACTTTTTCCTCATTGGTTACGGATTTTCTAAGCTTTATTGTCCTTTACAATTATATCGTGCCAATATCATTATACGTTAGCATAGGTAAAAACTATTTTTATCTTAGCTATTTTGTTTTATCTTTAGATATCATAACTAGAAATTATTAAAATTAAAAATTAAAAATTAAGATTAATATCAGGATAAATATTATCGATTAACTGAAATAGAAACAATTGACGAGCTTTGATTAATTAATTGTTTTCTTTATAGAATTACAAAAATTCTTCGGTTCATTTTTCTTCAGCTGGGACGTCGACATGTATGACGAACAGATGGATCAACCAGCATTAATTCACACGTTGAATCTAAACGAGGAGCTTGGTCAAATTGAATACTTATTTGCAGATAAGACCGGTACACTCACCGAAAATATGATGGTATTTAGACGTTGTTCGATCAATGGAAAAATATATATAGAAAAAGATTGCGATGGCAAATTGTATCTATTACCTCCCAGTAAGGATGAAGATCAGGCAATTGCATTAAAAACCTGGCAGGTAGGATTGCATTTCTGATTAAACGCAACCTTGTAAGTATTTTTAAGACGTTACTCGATATAATTTTCGATTAAATTCCAGCCAGAACATTGGCATTTTATGATAAGCATCGCTCTATGCCATACAGTTCAAATTTCACCCTTGAGTCAAAGAGCTATTGCCGTCATAAAACGTAAAGAATTTCGCCAGAGTTTCAGGCAAAAGAAAATCCTTCATGTAGATAGTTCTCTCTTGATGCATCCGGACTTACCAGAATATCAGGTAGAAATAACTGTCTTTTGCATGGATATAAATCTTTATATTAATTTCATCATGTATTTTTATCCCTGATGATTCGTTGATAAATAAAAGTTAAAAATGAATTTACATGATAAATTGTAATATTAAAATAACATGACGAAGAAAAAAAGCTGACGAAACTGAACAATATCAATATTTTATCTAAACTAGTAATAACTAATTTGATTGTGAGTAGAACATTTAAAAATATCTAATTATTATGCGGTAGGCAACGTCGGCAGATGAAAAAGCTTTGGTTGAAGCCTGTGCCAGATGCGGAGTCATTTTTGAATCAAGAAAAAACGACATAATAGAATTGAAAATCCAGAATAAAATTTTGACTTATAAAATGCTTGAAATTCTAGAATTTACTTCCGGTTAGTATTCAAAGATTCATCGAACTTTTAAAAATCGTAAATTATAAAAATTATGATGAATTTTTCATCGATAGAACGCAAGAGAATGTCGGTATTGGTAAAAGATTCAGCTGGAGATTATTGGTTATACAGCAAGGGAGCAGATAGCACTATGTTGCCAATTATAATCGAAGGAAAAATCAATGAAGTTATTGCGCACGTGACTGATTTTTCTATGGTAAAACGAATAGTCTTTTATAAATTCAAAATTATTATTTTTCCTTTATATCTTCATTAAAAGAATATTGTTTTCTTTAGAGAGGTCTTCGAACTCTGGTTATTGGATATAAAAAGATAAACGAAGCGAAATACAATGAATTTTCGAATGAACTGGAAAAAGCTAGACAAATAATTGGTATAGAACGATCGAAATATGTAGAACTAACTTATAATATGATGGAAAGAGATCTCACTTTACTAGGTGCGACTGCTATTGAGGATCGTCTTCAAGAAGGAGTGCCGGAAACTTTGGAATCCTTGCAACTAGCTGGAATTAAAGTCAGTAATGTTAATATTATTGATTACAAAAGACATTTAAAAAAAAATTTCTAAATTAAACCTTCGTATATGATTTTTTTTTTTCATTCAGGTATGGATACTAACTGGTGATAAAGCGGAAACTGCAGAAAATATAGCATATCTCTGTGGTCAATTTAAGAGGGGTACCGAGATTCTTAAATTGTTAGAAATAAGAGATACAGGAATTCTTCTTCACAAACTTACAGATTATGAGTAGATATACAATAAGATAATTTTTCATAAAACTATTCAATCGTTCATACTTTTATTTATTTATTTTTTTATACAATTTTAGAAGAAGATTGAAACTCGAACCTTCTAAACAATTTGGATTACTAATCGATGGACAAAGTCTTGCAGTTGCAATAAGAAATTATGCAGATGAATTCAGATCAATCGCAATGGTTTGCGATGCAGTTGTTTGTTGCAGGCTATCTCCGTTACAAAAAAGTGAAGTAAGTTTCTTATGAAAAAAAAATACGTATAAATATATTTTTCTATAGTTATATTCCTTTTTTTTTTCTTTAATCTATACAGATTGTAAAATTGATTAAAAAAGCAAAAACTCGACCGCATACTGCTGCCATTGGTGATGGAGGAAATGATGTTTCGATGATACAAGAAGCCCACGCTGGAATTGGAATAATAGGCAAAGAAGGTCGGCAAGCGGCCATTAACTCTGATTTTGCAATATCTAAATTTAAATTTTTAAAGAAAGTATTATTTGTACATGGACATTGGTATTATATCAGGATCGCCAATTTGACGCAATATTTTTTTTATAAGAATTTTATCCTCATGACACCACAATTTATATTTAGTATATTTTGTGCCTTTTCCACACAGGTAAGATCTAAATTTTAAAATGGATATCTTTACAATGGTTTTCTATTTTTAAGTTACTTTATTTATTTGCAGTCATTTTTTGACGGCTTATACTTAATGTCTTACAATGTAATATTCACATCTTTTCCAATAATGATATATGGATTGTTTGAACAGAATTATAGTGCTGATATATTATTACGTAAACCATATCTATACAGATTGAATCAAGGCAATTATTTATTATCTATGCAGCAGTTATTCTTATGGATTTTTCTAGGTAAATTACTTAAATAATTTATCAGCGAAAATGAACATTTTACTAATATATTCTTTCAGGTTCTTGGCATGCTATTGTTATATTTTTTATGCCATATACATATATACTCATTAATCCTGTTACTTTATATAATAACACGCCAATAGAACAATGGACATTCAGTATATTTGTTTTCCATTTAGTTACACTAATAGCCAATTTACAGGTAGTGAGATTTTTACTTTCTAAATTATATTATATTAAATTATATTAAATTTTCCTTATTATTATATGAAATTAATTTTTATTTTTTAGATACTTTTACGTAGTTCTTATTGGACAATACCACTTATATTAGTAGTATTATTCTCACAATTAATATTTATTGTATTTGCAGTTACCCATTCATTTATACCTATGTAAGCAATATTTCATAATTTTATAAATTTCACATGTATAAAATCTTATATTTCATTTAAAATTATTATTATTTTTATTTAATAGAAGATACGATGGTGATATGTTGAGGGTTTTTATAATATTAACATCGTCGATAACATTCTGGCTTTTAACTATTGTGGTCGTCGTCGCTTGTTTAATTCCTGATTATTTACTACTTACATATAACAAATATAAATCTGCTTTTAAACTAAAAAAATATGAAGAATCATGGCGTTTTATAAATAACGATAACGATAACACACAAAATGTATTATTCAAACATATGTTCTACATTTAGATAAGTTATTGTTTTCATGCTAACTAATGATAATGAATGGATATATATATTTTCATTTTCAGAGATAACATTTTAATATGTCACAGTTTTGGAGACACAATTTTATATTATGAAAATCCAAATGAGATAATATTACATCGAGAAACTTTAATTTTCCATAAAATTGGTAAATTGTTTTTTCTATTATATAGAACGTAAGTCATTTATTAATTTATTATTTATCTTATCTAGAGAAAGATATATATAATATTCTTTATAAATATGTTTATTATATTTATTATTGTATTTCTATAGTAATGTAAAACTATCGATTTATAAAAATACTTTATATTTATTTATAATTTTTTAATTAGAAGATGAAGCAATTCGATTACATATATATATATATATATATATATATATTACGATATATGTGTGTGTGTATAAATAATATTTTAATAATTTGTTATTTTTCTATATTATTGAAATGATTAGGAAATTTTTAATTAAATTATTTACATGATATAGTAATGCTTCAAAAAATACAAATCGAAATATTTCAAAAAATATAAATTTTCTATCTTCATTAATTTATTACAATTTAAATAAGTCTTTGACAAAATAAAATAAGAATCGATCAATTATCATTTTTAATCTATAAAAAATTAAATCTTTATGATTTTCATGTCATTATAATATAAAAATTAATATTTAATTACGAGATTGTTTTAATTATATTACATTAAAATGAGTTTAAGCATGTGAATCAATTTCTATAATTAGAATAATAGGAGATAAATCTCAGAAAATATCTTCAAGTATTATTGTATTATTGATTCTTTAATTATTTTATTAGAATTTATTAAATGAAATACACATACTATTACAGAATTTCAAGTACAATATATTCCTGAAAAAGAAATATTGTGAAATTGAAAAATATTTAATATTATGTAATCATATTTATATTATAAGAAATAATCAAATGTAAATTAATATAGAATAATTGTAGGATAAAAATACGTGCTTTTCTATTTTGTGATTGAAATAGAAACATTTTTAATTTTTTAAATGATCGAATCTTATAATAAGTGTTTGATAATGTATATTTCCACTAATTATTATAAATAATTTTATTGTAAATAATTTTATATAAGAGAAAAAATTAATTTTAAAAACTTTATAATGTCATCGCACATGATATGTTTTAAGCTCAAGAAATTGTTTGTAACAAAGATAATATATGATGTTTGATGATGTATATGATGATGATAAATATGTGATAATGTTTTGTAACGTCGTAAATATATTAAAGATTTAATTTGTATTTTTCTCTTTTTATATCTATGCATATCAAGATACATTTTCTGCGTATTTTTCTCAAATGACGCGCCTTAATGGTAGTTATGTCTATAGTTCAAAACTGAAGTTAATTCTGTTCAGTTTCAAGGGAAAGATAGGGTATGTCAATATTCGCCAATGTTTTTTCGTTGTTTCAACATGATGTGATAAATTTCTAGAAAGAAGTTCTGAAAAAAGGCAAATATACGATGAAAAAAAAAAAGAAAAACGAACTTGTATGAAAGAAAAAAAAATATCTTGTATGATTAATTATAGCTTATGATATAATATAATAATCTTATTATTATTGAATGAAAAAAATAAGAAAATAGAAAAATAAAAAAAGCTATAATTAATTATATAAATTGAAGATATTATTTGTGATATTATTAGAAAATTGGTAAAAAAAAAAGTCACGGCAGATTTATTTATTTGTTAAATCCTAAAGTTGTTTTAACCTAAGGATTGTTTTAAAAAAGGATCAATTAAATTTGTTGTAAACGAAATGTTGCCATTTTTCACAGATTTAGTTATAGATCAAAGTTGTTAACTGTATACATTTTCATAAAGTATATGTATTAGACTTATACATATTTTGTAAAAATAGATTCTTGTTAATTAATTTTATAAGGAAAAGATTTTATACAATGATCTGTTGAAACAATATAAAATTATTGTTATTGTATATAAGTTTATTTGATTTTAATAAAATTAAACTTATATAATTTCTGTATTCATTTATTTTTTTAAGATTATATTTTATGTTTTGTTTAATTATTCTTTTATACTTGAAATTTTGTATTTATATACTTACGCTTTACTATATTTTTAATATTTCTGTTTTATTTAAATTGATGTTAATTATTAATATTTATAATAAATTTGTATGTCTATAAATAAATACTTTTATGTCATTTGTATTAAATTTTTTTAATTTATTAAATTTTAATTTTACTTTACAACATAGATATATATTTTGAATGGAAAAAATATTTTAGGAAAAAATTCATATGGACAAGATGAAGAAATAAAATAAAAATAATATTTTACCTTTTAGGTAATTTTATGATAAACTAAATAAAAATGAAGATTATGTCATGTTATTTTCGACGTTTAATAATAACAGCATTATTTGTTTTATTGCTGTTTTGTGTTGTTCAAGTTTTTCGTTCAGAATTAGGATTTAATGACAATGAATTATCAAATTTAGATAAATTGTAAGTAAACATTTTATTCATTTCAATATAAGAATGGATCATTTTATATTATAATTCGTATTTTGATAATTTATGTCATTTCAGAATACACATATCTCAATTAATTAAGGAATCTGAACAACCTTATATTGGGTATACAATTAATTTTATTAGAAAAATTATATTAGATAAAAAAAAGTAGAAAGCTTCATATGTCCTTAGGGAAGGAATTGTGGCTTGTAAACTACCTCAATTAGATGTTTCTAATCCAGAAATTACCAAATTCATTCATGATGTTTCTCCCTTGCAATGTACACCAGAAGATTGGGTTATTCTTCGTGGCTCAAAATTGGTTATTAGTAATAAAGCAAGAAAAAATATGGATCTATAACTTGTCTTTTCAGTGGTAAGTTTTGTGAAATTTATACATTTACAGTAATATTCATATTATTGTATTTTATAATTGTTTCAATTATAAAACATTTACAGAAATTCTCAGAGATGATGATTATAATGTATCATTTATGACTCCTATTGAATCTGATGATTTCTATATTCTAAAATACAGTGATTTTGTTGATGTTAAATGTGAATCAAAAAATAGAAACGAGTAAGTATATAATAATCTATTGATAAAAATAATAATCTATTGATTAAATAAACTTCATTTCTTATAAAATTTTTTAGATGGCATAGTATCATGGTTGGAGTAAAGGATGATCCTAAAGTAAAAGAAAAAAGTAAATGGGAAAATGTTGGGAACAAGGCTCTTAAGTTAAATGTACTTATGTTTGGTTTTGATTCTTTATCCAGAAATACATTTATACGTAAATTACCAAAAACATATCAATATTTGAAAGAATATTTAGATGCTTTAATATTAGAAGGATATAATATAGTAGGTGATGGAACACCACAAGCTCTTATTCCTATTCTTACTGGAAAGATTGAACTTGAACTTCCAGATACTAGAAAACGCATGGGATCAAAAGCAAAGTATGTCAATGTATATCCAATGATATGGAATCAGTATAAAGAAAATGGTTATATAACAGGATTTATGGAAGATGTTCATCATATTGGAACTTTCACATATCGTCTAAAGGGTTTTAATAAGCAACCAACTGATCATTACATGAGAACATTCTATTTGGCTGCCACACCATATTTTAGATACTATAACAAATTTTGCATTGGAGGCATTCCAAGACACATGGTATTTCAAATTTTGTTTAATATTCTTTATATTAAGCTTATCAATTTGATTATTAAATTTATTACTTCTTATTACTGTAGGTAATGTTGAATTATATTAAAGAAATTTTTAATGTTTATAAACATCAACCAAAATTTTTGTTTGGATTTCATGGAGAACTTTCACATGATTCTTATAATGACATAGGAATGGTAGATGAAGATTTCTATAATTGGATAAAAGATTTACATGAATTTGGTCACTTGAATAATACAGTACTGATAATAATGAGTGATCATGGACATAGGTAAAGTTATAATATATAACTTATATACATATACAAGTATAATATATAAAATTGAATTGAATAAAATTTTATTTTGAATATAGTATTGTATCACAAAAATTTTATTATAATATATTGAAAACTTTAAACATATATTTATGATATTAAAAATTTTATTTTTAAGGTTTGCAGAAATTCGTAACACTCTACAGGGTAAACAAGAGGAAAGATTACCATATTTTTCATTTGTATTTCCACTATGGTTTAAAAAAGTCTATCCAGAAGCTTATGCAAATTTTTTACATAATACACGTTATTTAACAACTCCATTTGATATCCATAAAACATTGGAAAATATATTAAATTTTGAAACACCAAAAATTGGAGATCGTCATCAGAGAGCTATTAGCTTATTTGATAAGGTAGATATTGTATATAGATAAATTAAAAATTATATTTAATATCTATATATAATGTCTATTAAATAATTAAATCATTGATTTTTCACATAAATATTCCAAATAAAATTATGGTGATGGTGAACACTTTTTATTTTTTGTTAGATATAACATTAATATTTAATTATAGTTAAATTTAAAAATTAATAAATATACATAATGATACAGATACCATTAGATAGAACTTGTGCAGATGCATTTATAGAACCACATTGGTGTGCATGTCTTAGTTGGCAAGAAATTTCAACTGACAATGATAATGTTATTGCTGCAGCCAATTATTTTATTCAATTCCTTAATAGTTATACAGAAGATCATCGTGATATATGTGAAAAATTGAAAATAAAAGAAATATTATGGGCTGCTAAACTTATACCTAATAAAGGTATTACAATTATATTTTTCCCATGTCAATTGATAAATATTAAAATGTAAAATTATAGGTTTACTAAAATTTCAAAAATCGGGAGATCAAGATGGTTTTATAGGAGATTTTAGTGCAAAAACAAAATTAACTACTGAAACTTTTCAATTAAAAGTAAAAACAGAACCAGGAGCTGCTTTATTTGAAGTCAGTATTACTTATGATATAAAAAAAAGTAGTTTTTTGACCAAAGTAAGTTCACTATTTATATAATTATCAAAAAATAAAAAATAAAAATAATTATAACAAAATTTTTAGATTTCAGATGTTAGTAGAATTAATATGTATGGATCTCAGGCAAGATGTGTAGAAAATTCTTTGTTTCATTTAAGAAAATATTGTTATTGCAAAAATTAAACAATTAGTATTTAGAAAGTAATATACATATTTATTTAAATTAAAGAGCAAAAAAAATTTTCATAAAAAAATTCACAAGCCATGAAAGAAGTGCTGTGATTAGAATTATATTTCAATTTTTATATTTACCTCATGTTTTTCGTCTTAACAAATATAATCTTAAGAATAATATAATAATACAGAAATAAATAATATTACAAATAAAAAATATTATTTATAGTATTTTATATATAATATTATATTTATATTTTACACATATATGAAATGAATGATACATTAATAAATAATATCTTAAATTACATATTAATATTATTAATAACAATTAATTAAATAGACAAGTTGCTAAATTTTAAGTTATTAATTTTTAATATGTTTTAATAAATTAATGAATATTAAGCATATTATAAATGTATAATGCACAATATAATGTAATGATTTGGTGTATAGAATAATGTTTTTTTATTATTAAATATACTTATGATATAATTCTCTCTAAATTTTTTTTATAATCATTGTGAAAGACAATATTCACCAAACTGATGCAAAAATGTTGTAATTTCATGAGTTATACCGTCAATTAACAGAAATCCTATATTTTGCATATGTGATGGATCATATGGAAAATATGCTTCTCCTTTACTATCTTTAGCTACTACTTGTAAAACTACTGTACTAATTGATAAATCAGTATCTTCATTTTTTTGTACCCTAAATAATAGAAAAATATAATTATAATTTATTGAATATAAACAGAATACTTATAAAACAATTATATCACCCAACTTTATTAAATCCTTATACATAGCTCTTGTTACTTCTAAGTATGGATTTAAAATATCTTCATATTGACACAATATTCCTCCAAGAACAAGCATTTGAAAAATAAAAAATATAAATTCTTCTCGTTCATCTTTTAAATATAAATTATACTCTGGACATTCTTCATCCAATAACATCTATAAATTTATTATAAATGAACATATAATTATATATCATAAATAAATATATGTATTAAAATTAATTGATTATAAATAAATAAAAAATCCATACTGCTCTAAGATTATCAGAGATTAAAAAATTTTCTATTTCCATATCAAATCTTTTACAAATTGCTCCAGATTTGTGCACAATTCCATTTTTAGGATCTTTTAATTTATTGAAGAAAGACATATTTAAAACAGAACAAGAAATAGGATTTATTTCTACACTTGATGCTATTATACCTATCAAATAAAGAAAAATTAATAATACATAATATCATATCATAGAAAAATGTTTTTTGTTACCTTGTTTTGCCCAATAATTTCCTTGCTTTGTTAATAATTCTTTAGCAACAGTACTATCTTTAAAAAAAGCCTAGAAAAATTAAAAAATAATACATTACTTTAAAATTATCAAATTTACTTTAAAATTATTTTATTTTAAAATTATTTTAAAATAAAAGCATTTTGAAGTAAAAACTATATGATTAACTAACTTCAGCCAAATGATATTTATGATATTTTTGAAAAGGTTCATTGAATGTAAAATGTTGGATAATAAAATTCCTTTAATTCCCCTAAAAATTGAAAAAAACTTATTATTATAACAAGTTATTATATTTAAATTTGAATAAAAAAATTTTGCATATATCAAAAATAGACAATAATAATACTAATATTATTACCATTTAGAAAGAAATTCTTGAATTTTTTTATCGTTTATATTAATAAGATTTTTTTGAACAAGAGGCACAAATGTATATTTATGTTCAATCTCCATTTTTAACAAATTTATATTGTTACTATGGAGATATATATTATATATTTATATATGTTAATTGTTTAATATATAGAAAACTTTTTAAAAAAAGGAATTATAATATAAGAAAGAAATTTATAAAAAAATATTTTTAAGCAATAATAAAGAAAAATATATAAGATTACATATAAAATATTTACAAATTAGTGTTATGTAATTATAATCATAAAAATAATTATTTTTACTATTAATAAAATGAATATATAACATTTTAATATTTTTAAATATTTTAATAATATAGTTATACAATTATAAAGAAATATTTAGCTTTAAAGGTTTTGAAAAATCATGGCGCCGAATCAACGTCAACGTCAGCTTTTTATTTCCAAGAAAGAACTGAAAAAGTTGAATGGCAGAAGATTTTCAAAGTAGACATAAAACTATTTTTTTTCTTAATAATAAAACATGGGAAAAAAATTCTTGTGTTCTTTTACATTTAATAAAAATAAACATATTATATACCGGTTAACCTTTTTTTTTGACAATTTGATATTAATTATTTTAACAAGAAACTATAAATACCTATAATATATTTTTTTATACGATTTGTATTATTATTAGTTATTTTATTTTAATTTTTTTATTTCATGACTAATATAAAATATCTAAAATAATAAAATTATAAATTATAAATTATAAAAATTAAATATGCATAAAATTAAATACAAATTTCAAGAAAAATTAAGAATGTATGTTTCAGACCTGAAGAATCCTCTGATATTGGTCTTATTTATCCTTGTGTGGATACAGCATTTAAATTACTTCTATCTGCTAGATTTTGTTCTGCTATATGGAGTCACATAACAGATTGTGATGAAACATATAATTATTGGGAACCAGTAAGAAATAATTCTTAATAATTTTTTTAATTTTTAATAATATTTATATATGTATTGTTTTATATTATTCTGTTTTAATGATTAATTTAAATAATAATAAATAGATTATTTCTTTTACAAAAATATTTTCTTTCATATATTTTATGTTTTAGAGTCATTATCTACTTTATGGCAATGGTCAACAAACATGGGAATATAGCCCACAATATGCATTAAGATCATACATGTATTTATTGATTCATATGGTACCAGCAAAACTTTATCATTACTTGTTAGAACCAAATCCTGTTTTAGTTTTCTATTTTGTAAGATGCCTATTATCTGTGGGTTGTGCATTGTCTGAAGTATATTTTTATAAGTATATATCTTATGAATCATATTATATTGTTAATAATATAGATTCATTAATGATAAATTTTATCTTAAAATATTAACCAAATATTACTATTTTTCTAATAGAAATGTATGCAGAGAATTTGGAATTCACATAGGCAGATTAACATTAGTATTTCTCATTCTTAGTTCTGGCATGTACATTGCTAGTGCTGCATTTTTACCATCTTCCTTTTCAATGTATGTTGTTTAAAAATAATAATATATAAAATGAATGTGCAAAATTAAGTCATTTAAATTAATATTATATGTTTTTTATATAGGTATTTGAGTACTATTGCAACAGCAGCATGGTATGGGCGTCAGTACGAATTAGCAATTTTTGCTACAGCTTTATCTGCTTTATTAGGATGGCCATTTGCAGCATTACTTGGGTATTTTCTTTTATACTTATATAGAAAATTAGAGTGTAAAAATTAAATAATTATATAAGTATTTTTTATATCAATTTGTAGATTACCAATTGCAATGGAAATGTTATTACATAAACAAGAATGGAGTAAATTTATAAAATGGGTAGTCATATCTGGTACTGTTGTTTTAATACCAATGATATGGATTGATTCAATGTATTATGGAAAATTAGTTATAGCACCTTTAAATATTGTAATGTATAATGTTTTTACTAATCATGGGCCAAATATTTATGGAATAGAACCTTTCAGCTATTATATTTATAATGGATTTTTAAACTTTAATTTCGTTTTTATTGGTGCTATTTGTGCTCCATTTGGATTGGTAATATTTATGAAAACAGTAATATCTGAAACTTTATAATTTTTGATATTTTAATCAACATTATAGTTTTTAGTGTGGCTAATTATACCAGCCAGACCAAGAGATCGTTTATGTTTATCTTATTGGTATTCTTTGGCACCATTGTATCTTTGGTTTCTAGTGTTTTTTTCACAACCTCATAAGGTAAATTAAATAATATTTTTTAATAGTTAAAATCATATATATCTAATTATATTTTTATTATAGGAAGAACGATTTTTGTTTCCTGTGTACCCAATGATTTGTATGGCTGGAGGTATAGCTGTAGATACTATTCAAAAATTATATTTTTTTATTAGGACAAAAATTAGTTCTTTACATATTGCTTATCATTATTTGCAATATACTGTTTATATTACATGTTTTGCCATTTTAATATGTGGTTTTCTTGGAATATCAAGATCATTGGCAATATATAAAGGTAAAAAGTTTTAGTTAATTAAAATTTGAAACTTAATTAAAATAAAATTTTTCATTTTTTTTTTAAATACTAGGTTATTATGCACCAATGGAAGTACTGATTGATACTAATAAACTTGGCTTAGAAAGAGAAATATCTAAGGATATTAATATTAATTTTTGTATTGGTAAAGAATGGCATCGATTTCCAAGTAGTTTTTTCTTTCCATCAAATAAGTAAGTAACACATTTCTTGACAAATATAATAAAATATATGCAAAATGTTTCATCTTTTTAAATAAAAATATTGCAGTTGGAAACTTCAGTATCTAAGATCAGAATTTAAAGGTCAATTACCACAACCTTTTTTAAATCATGAAAATGCAACTAGTATTATGCAGCCCTATTTTAATGATATGAATAGAGAAGAACCTACACGTTATGTAAGTTATTATTCATATCACAATATGAAGATATTAAAATATAGATCTTTGCATAGATTTTTATATGATTATTATTCAATTTAACTAATTTAATGTATATTATTGTAGTTTAACTTAGATAAATGCCATTTTGTGTTAGATTTGGACAATGGTATTGAAACAATTTTAGAACCAAATTATTCTCGATTTAATGATAATTTTACAATAATAAAATCATCCAAATTTTTAAATTCAGCAAAGTAAGTGAATTATGTTACATGAATTTTCTTATATTACATCTACAATTTATTAAATTAATATTTTATTAAATTTTTTATTATTTTTTAGATCACACCGATTTTTTCGAGCATTTTATATTCCTTTTTTATCTGATAAATATTGTACATATGGCTCGTATAATTTATTACAAAATATTAAATTGAAATCAATTCCTCTTTTGTCGAAAGAAAAGAATACAAAATCTGTTTGAGTAAAAATTTTAGAACATATATATGATTTTAATAAACAGGGTCTCCATCAGGGAAATTACATGTTTGATATTTCAAGTGGACTGTATAATAAAAGATAAAACAAAATAATTTAAAAATAATAAATGAAAATAAAAAAACAAAAATGATTAAAACTTAAAAAAATTACAAATTTTTTTAGTTTTATTAAAAATTAAAAAATTGATAATTAGATTTTGAATTGATCATAATTTTGTTATAATAAATTGTTAATACATGTATAATATATGCGTTTATAATTAAATATATGCGTGATTAGTATGATTAGTGAAAAGTATAGAAATTATGATTGATATAAATATATTGGATAATATCAAAATTTTGTATAAAATACATAGATAAACATAAAAAATTTATACTTGTAATAAAATACTTAATTAATAATTATTTTTTATCTATAAAATACTTAATAATATAAAATATTTTAATTTTGTTCTTGCATTTTTAGTATTTACATATTTTAATAAATTATTAAGTATTATTTTTATCAATAAACATAAATAATTTTATCAGTATACATATATAATAAACTTAAAAATAGTAACTATATGAATAATATTTGATAATAATATTTATATGTAATTAAATTCCAGTTTCTTTATAATTAACAAATTTTATATATATATATATATAATGAGATTATAGTATATATGAGTATATTAATTTTAATTGCAAATATACTATAAATTATTGTATTATATTTTATAAATATTCTAGTAAAATTTTCAGGAACATATTGTGTAAAATCTAAATTATTTAATATATTTTAATTATTACAAAACATTTTTTAATGTATTTTTTATTAAATTATTTTTTAAGAAATTTTATATAAGTTAATTATAAATAAAATAATATATTTATAAATAAATAATATGATATATTCTAATTTTTTTATCAGACATCTCCTTATAAGTGTCGCTATATGATACAAATTAAAATTGCAAATATTAATATATAAATATATTGTAAGAATTAGATATATATGAGAAGATAATTTATTATGACTACTATAACATAAATTCTTATGTAGATTCTTTTTCTATCAAAAAAACATTACAGAATCATAAAATTCTTTGTTCTTAAATTGTTTAAATAATTAAAATATATTATTTTTTTTATCATAATTTGCTTTGTATATATAATTGTATATATAATTTTTTATTAAAATCAAGCGTTAGCACTATGTATATGAATAGGGCGCTTCTGTCTATCTAATGTTAATAGCTATAATAATTTTTTTGGATCAACGCGATAAATTTCGAGTAAACAAAATTTTAATTCATGCGCGTTGATGTATATCCTAAAGACAAGAAAATTCCTCACTGAATATATGTGATATCTATTAACAAATATTTAAATATTGATAAAATTATTATTTAA